TGCCTGCCTCTTCCAGGAACCGGTTACATTCGAGGACATCACTGTGGTCTTCACGGAGGCGGAATGGAAGAGCCTGAGCTGTGAGCAGAAGAACCTGTACAAGGAGGTGATGCTGGAGACGTACAGGCATCTGCTGTCGTTGGGTGAGGTCGTGCTCTTTCCCTCATTAATTCAGTAGATACTTACCACCTACTGTGCACTACAGGAGCCCTGGTGGCGCAGTGGTTAAGCACTCAGCTGCTAACCTAAAGGTCAGCAGTTTGAACTCACTGGTTACTCAGTGAGAGAAAGATTTGGCAGTCTTCTTCCATAAAGCAGCAGGTCTTTTTGGTTTTTATGTGCCAAAAATTTTGTGCTCAATTATTTACGTATAGGTTGGTGGTTTGAACCCATCCAAAGACACCGCAGAAGAAATCTAAAGACTATAGTCAATAAAACTCTATAGATCAAATAGAATAAAATAAATTAAAAAGCAAACAGTAGGCCCATACATCATCACCAAGTGCGATTCATACCAGTTACGTAAGGATGGTTAAACACTGGAAAAACATTAGAAAAACAATTAACATGATCATATCAATTGATGCAGAAAAGGCATTTGATCAAATCTAATACTCATTCCTGATTTAAAAAAAAGTCTCAGAATAATAGAAGATTAATTCCCTGCTATTTTAAAGGTCCTTGAATATATAAAGGGCACATATGCTCCAGTGGCGTAGTGCCTAAGGTATTTGACTGCTAACCTGAAGGCTGGTGGTTCAAACCTACCAGCCACTCCTTAGAAGGAAGGTTGGGCAGTCTACTTACATAGTGATACTGCCTCGGAAACCCAAGGAGGGGTCACTATGAGTTGGATCTGACTTGACAGCAGTGAGTTTGGTTTTGTTTTATGCAAAACCAACACCAACCATTATTCTCCATGGAGAGAGACTGAACATATTGTGAATGGAATATTATATTATATCACAGGATGCCCTCTATCACCACTTCTGTTCAACAGTGTGTTAGAAGTTTTAGCCAGGGCTATAAGGGAAGAAAGGGAAATAAAAGGTATCCACATTGGTAAGAAGTAAAACTATCCCTGTTTGCAGATGATATGATCCTATGCTTAGAAAACCTAAAAGACTCAGCAAGAAAACTATTGGAACTAATTTGAGAGATTTAATATAGTGGTCGGATACAAGATTAACATATAAGAATCAGTTGGATTCCTTCACACCAGCAAAGAGATCTCTGAAAAGGAAATCAATACCATTTACAATAGCTACCAAAAAGATAAAATACTTGGGAATATGTCTTACCAGGAATACAAAACACCTATACAGAGAACACTACAGAAC